CGATATCCAAATCTCTCAGTACGATACTTTCACGATATACATCTCACGGTACGATATTTAATGTGATATTTTGTGGAGAATATGCTACTTTTTTTTTTTAAATGCCTTGACATGACTTTGGTTCTGTCATAATCCAAAAATTAAGATGTAAACATGCTTATAAGAGATGTTTCTTCAAGTCATTGAGGCAAAGGATCATGGTCTATGTAGTTCCCTCCATTTTTTTTAGCTGATGCACTATAACTTCATTTAGAGACTTTTTTTTTTTTTTTTTTTTTTGATGGCCCATGATATCATTGTGAGACTTTTGACATACGATAGGTAGTGCCTGATCATGGCTGTTATGAGACGAAAAATCCAAAAAGTTCTTATTTAAATGTGCTTATAAGAATTGTTTCTTCTTGTAATCAGCACTGAAACGGAGCAAAGGATCATGGTCTATGTAGTTCCCTCCAATTTTTAGCTATATTGCTGTACTATAACTTCATTTAGAGACACTTGTGATTCGATGGATTGTGATGGCCTGCAACATTATTGTGAGACTTTTGACATACAATATCATGATAATTCAATTATTGTTACATCCCTAGAAACAAATACGTCAAATTTAGCGTTATCATTGCTGTTATGAGACCAAAAATCCCCAAAATTCTGATTTCTGATTTAAACATGCTTATAAAAGTTGTTTCTTCATGTAATCAGCACTGAAATGGAGCAAAGGATCATGGACACTTGTAAAAATGTACTTGTTATATCCCTAGAAACAAGTAGGTAAAAGGTAGTCCTTGATCATTGCTGTTATGAGAACTTTCTTTTATAACTGAATTACGCAAATGTATTATAATCATGTTGGTATTTTAATTATAGGTGCATATCCAGGTGAATTATGAAACATGTGCCTCATAACACAGATCTGCATTTATTTTATTACAACTAATATTTCTGATATTACCTCAAATTATTATTACATCATTTCACAAGTGCACCGTGTTCCAGAGTGTGGCATTAAAATCCTTAAGAGATGAGACACACAGGTGATGTCACTCCAAGCGTTTTAAGCAATACTTTTTTGTTTAAGTTTACATTTTCAGTTCTCTTTCCACCACTGGGGATGAAGAGTGGGGGGAGACATTTGGCAAAGACACAAAGTTTTCCATATTTGTGTTAATATCCAAAACAACTTATCTCTCTGTGTTTTTCAAAGCATTTTAGCAATAGTAACACCCGTATTTGAATAAAAAAGGATTTATAATTTTAATGCCATATTGTGGAAAATTTCTAGCCTGATTCATTAGCTGGTTTCACTTCAGGGAAACCATCTGACCTCGCAGCATTAGAATTCGTTCGCTCGAGGGCAGGTGGGTACTTTTTTTTTAACCAATCGCTGCTATTTTGTCATGACTTATGTAATGCGCTGCTAACGGGGCGAACTGGTACATTAAGCTTTTCCCATATCCCGTAGGAAGAAGGGCAATAACGTCTTTCTCCTTGATAAAATTCACCAAACATTCTCTTTGTTCTGGCTTTCAATCCTCGATGTCGGGAATCGTTGCCAACACAGAATGTATGGCTCTTTGCTGGTGCCCAAACTCACACTTCCGGGATTCTTGCAAACCATTTTGATTCCTGACCTAGTCACTGGAGAGAAATGAAATTGAGCGGAGGCACTAGGTGGCACCGGCCTGGCTAGAACATTTCAGGCAAAGCTAGAACAAAATGTCATCTAAAACTTTACTTACATGTAGACCTGTCGTGATAATTACTATATTGACTTATCGTTCAATATATGAAAGCTGAAACAATATTTTTGGGGGGTCAGTGTGTATCATGTGTACATTTTTTTTTCGCACTACTGGGAATATTTGTGTATTTAAAATTGTTTTTGTGGTTTAAATCTGCTCTTGGGTTATTGTGTCAGTAGCATAAATTAGTTTCAGTATTATCGTTTATCGTCTATATTTTCTTCATCAACTTCAAAATTGTGTTATGGTAACAGGACTCTCATATGGCTTTTATAGTTTAATCCTTTTATATCAGTGATTTATCCATTTTATTTATTTTTAGATGGGTGAGAACCAACGTGAGACCTGTAACTAAATCATACTTGTTTTATGATGTTGTAAAACGGGCTTTAATTGTGTAGTCCAACATTGACTTCAGATGTATTTTACCACTTTAATGACTAGGCCTGGAGTATGACTAAGAACCACCACCTGAGCTACAATCGTACAAGATACTGCATACAGCTCTACATGGGAAATCTATGCAAGTTAAAAACAGGAATTGCCAATTGTTTTATTGTTATAGCTGCACACTGGTCATGTGCTTTTACCAGTTATAATTTGACATTTTTAGGGCCTTTATTGTGCTATTTTCTTATCTACGTAATGCTATTTTACACAGTTGTGTTTTGTTTCATTCACATGTTTAAAGTCATATACCCTGCATATTTATTCTGTCAAACAAAAAACATTCTGTCTTTTGACGTCATGTGATAATACCAGAAGTCTTTCATTGTGTATTTAAACTCCATGCACCTTCACTAGAATCATTTGGATGATTTCATACCAGGAATTGCTGATCTTTAGTAGAGATGCACCAATCTAGATTTTTCCATTCCGATTTTGATACTATCACTTTAAATATCTGCTGATACCCGAGGGGGGACTGAAAATAGCATTAATTTCCCTAACAATAAAACAAAATGAAAGAAAACTGATCCAGTTGTGTTGTGTAGCTGTTATTCATCTTTCCAGTACAAGTACAGAAAAGCTTTGTGGAAAAAAAAGTTCAAACTTTATGAGACTTTCTGAGCCAATTAGTAACAGTAAATAGTCGTATTACATCCATTGAGAATATGAGCAACCAGGATATCGTCTGGATCGATATCTGGAAGCTGATATCCGATCCAGCTGATTTTTCTGTATTGTGCTGATATTCGATGCTGGTATATCGGATCAGTGCATCCTTAATATCTACTGAACAAAAGGTCAAAGGTAGCTGCTAACCACTTATAACAAGGCTTAAGGTTCACAAGAATCCATTTTGTGTAATATAGGTTAATTATAGGTAAGGAAGAATTAATTCCTTTGGGCTTTGTCATTCAGACATTGTATGAAATCCTGTCCTTTTCCTTGAAATGAAAATCTACCTATATTCATCAATTTATTCTATTGCCAAATCCTGGTTCAAGGAGTCCAGGGAGAGTCATTTATAGTAGAAAAAGTAGACTTTGTCCAGCCTTATGGAGATTGCAACAGTGCTGGCTATTGTACAGGGGACATACCAAACTTACTCATCGAACAAGTTAATATGAAACCTATCATCACCTGCCATTCACTGGAGTGACGTCTTTCATCTGTCCTGTGTCCAAATGAACAAAACAAGACTACCATTATTCCCCCAACAGTGTTCAATTGCAGTGTTGTAACAGAAAATTACAAGTCCAGCACCGTTTATAAAAAGTATGAAAAAATATGAAACCATTTTTGTGAATAACAAACAAAAACATATAACAAAAAGACTGGGTCGAATATGATGCAGTACTACTCAATAGAAAGCCCTTTAAAATACCTACACAAATTTTACTAAGTTGAGTCTTAGTAACTACTTAATTAAAGGTTTAGGGGTAGAAGTCAGGGTTAGGTATTAATTATAGCTGTTAAACCTGAATCTTTATTAATCATGCTTTATTAAGGCATTTAAAAGCCCTATATAGGACAAAATGTATTCTTGTGAGCTTTAAGCCATGTTATAATGTTGTTACCAAAACAAAAACATATTTGGAGTTGTGGTTTGCTTCATTCACACACATTTGAGCAACTCTTTATAATTAGTCTATCTATCTATCTATCTATCTATCTTAGTCTATCTCCAAGGCTCAAAACACTCTGTTCCACCTGGTTATGTCATGTAGTGGTGATTTTCAAGTCAACAGCTAGGCCACCTTTTACCTTTAGTTAAGTCGAGATGGGTGATTCCAGATCCGAAATCATCCAAATGATCCTAGTGAAGGTGTGTATGTAGTTTAAAAACACAGTGGAGCACTTAATGTTTTACCACATGACATCACAAGGTGGAACAGAGTGTTTTCAGTTTGAGAGAAGAACTCCGCACAACTCCCCATGTCTTTTGATGAGGAAACATTATCGCATTAATCAGAAAATAACGTAATATGGGCTCTTTGAAGTGTAATTATAATTAAGTCTTAAACAGTATATTATTATGTAAATGAGGTGACCATGGGTGGATTTGACGTGTACAGAGAACAATAAATACTAGGTTAAAAGTTGACATTATATCATTGTACTGCTGATTCACATAGACTGGCCTATTGCACGTGATTGCTACTTAAACCAACAAACTTATAAGTCAACACTAGTGCGTTTGGAGCTATAGTACTTTTTAATATATTAAACAAGGAAACATTTCCATTATTTAGTTTATGCCTCATGGTTACTCATAAATTTCTCAATCTCAGTCCTGGAATCTGAACCTGGGGTTCACCTGCATCTGGCACCTGTCTGGCTAAACCCCACGTCTCCTTAACTACTACCACAGAAAGAAAGTACTATTAATCCTTGTGATACTGTACCTGAGTAGATTTTACTAGTAATTGTAATTAGATACATTTAGTTGATTAGCATTGTTGTCTGCCTGTCATCTCTGTCTCTTCTCTTTTCTCCAAAATCACATAACAGCACTACATCGTCTGTTCTGATTGGTCAGAGCTCAGAAAATATGCAAATTTTGATTTAAAACTACTTAATTTAACTTAACGTAACTGTTTAATTAAGCAAGTTATGTAAAAGACTGCTCTAAAATTGCGTAAAAAAACGTAACTAAACGTACTTTAAGCATTTTCCAAAACTTATAGGCTACTTGAGTACAAATTAGGCACCAGTAGTCTACTTGTACTTGCACTTTTTCATTTTATTTACATTACCCTTTCCCCTACTGTACACCGCACCATCCCAAAGCAAAAACATCCAAAGCCTTACCTTATTGTCCCACGCTGAACATGGGCACCCCTCCGTCAGATGAACCCTGAAGGGAGCATAGTTCACCGGCCGAGACCTTGGGGGGGAGCTCTGGGGGTCCGGAAAGCGGCGCAGGAAGACAGATCCAGGGGAGCGTGAGCGCGATGTCGTGTGTGCGCGGCGGCGGTGTTGTGATCCGCAGCTGGGCAGGAGGAGGCTTTACGCGCACAGGGCTGGAGTCATAATGCGAGACAGCTGGTTTTTCTGGTCCTGCAGCCCGGGCCGAGGCGTGGTGCTGCGGACATCACACGGTAGGAGGCTCCAACGTCACGGGGATCAAAGACGAGGAGAAATCTGACAGAAAATCATTAAATCGGTCTAATAATTGTGATGCGTAAAAACAAAGTCAGTAGGTCCATGTATTTATTTAGGCTGTTTAGACCTATTTTTTAATTGTTTGTTTGGAGGCCTATGTGTGTTTTTAAGCAACACAATTTCTGAAGGAGACACGTCATAAACAATTAACCAATTAAATGTCAATCCACGAAAATATAAACATTTAAAGCCTTACTTCGGAATATTCTCCAGCGCAATAAAAACAAAACATGCTTTTATTTCAGTTCAGTTTTTTCTACATGGTGGAGCTTTCATTGATCATGTGATGACCAAAGTTAAAATTTGAACAATCCAACATAAATTTCAGAAATTGGAATACATGGTGTACAGGCTGTTTGAATTTCTTAATTCATGTTTTTAAGCAACACAATTTCTGAAGGAGACTCGTCATAAACATTCATTAAATGTCAATCCACGAAAATATAAACATTTAAAGCCTTACTTCGGAATATTCTCCAGCGCAATAAAAACAAAACATGCTTTTATTTCAGTTCAGTTTTTTCTACATGGTGGAGCTTTCATTGATCATGTGATGACCAAAGAAAGAAACAAATTAAAGGTGCATTGTGTAACATTTCTGGTGGAGGGTCCTATCCAGGTCGGTGCCACATAGTGCCTCCGCTCAGTTTCATTTCCCTATAGCGACTAGGTCAGAAATTGGAATACACTAGATGGTACGCAAAAACCTTGGAAGTGTGAGTTCAGCTGCCAACCAATCAGCGAAGAGCCATGCATTTTGTGTTGGCAACGATTCCCTAGAACGAGGATTTAAAGCCGGAACAAAGAGAATGTTTGGTGAGTTTTATCAAGGGGAAAGATTCGCCCTTCTTCCTACGGGATTTGGCGCAGTGATTGGTTAAATGGAAAAAGTACCTGCCTGCTGTCGAGCAAATTAGTTCTAATGCTGCAAGGTCAGATGGTTTCTACAAACTGAAACCAGCTGATGAATCAGGCTAAGAGGGTTCACCATGGAGCTGGTAAATGGTCACATTTTTAAACAATGCTTTTCCACCTTTCATACACCAGTGTAGGCAGACACTATAGGGGCGAGGTGGGTTAAGTGTCTTGCTCAAGGACACAGCGACAGCATTCATTTGTGGGAGAATCACATCGCCAACCTGTGGGTCAGTGGATCTGACCACTCAACCAATTATGTTTTTGTTTTTTGTTTTTTTCTTCTTTTGTTTATATCAAGAGCTAGATTCAAACCACCAACCTTCGGATCAGTGGACTAAAGCTCTTACACTGAGCCACTGTTGCCCCGAGATGGTATTACTTTGTCTGAAATGTTTCACAGTATGGCATTATACCTTTCTATCATCATGGAGACCAAATGAGACCAAGTTACAGGTCAGATCTGTACAGAGGCAGCCCAGCCCACAGTCGAAATATTTGTTTTTCAGGGTATTTTTGAGCAATAAAACCACCAGTAATGTAATAAACTAGAGCTGTTTAATGTCATAATGTGGAATATTCGAAGCAGAGCAATGACACATCCATAGAAACAAGAAGGTGACAGACTCCAAAACAAAAAGTTACACAGTGCGCCTTTAAGCATGCAATTGAACACATATAATTACACATATTAATTTTAATGCGTGTGTAGCTTTGTGACTTAAAGCTTTTGCCTACATGTTTGTGGGTTTAAAAATTAACAGTGACCTGCCTATATGAGACTGTCCAAAGGTGCTGGGTGTGTTTGTTCAAAGCACACATATATTAGCCGCCTTTTCCATTAATGACGGATGTTCTCATGATAAACTGCTGCGATTTCTAGGTAAGACTCTGTAAATAAACACTAAATCTCGAGTTGGGTATTTATTTAACGGCAGTAATTTAAAAAGTCAAAAGTCAACAAAATTTATTAAAGGTACATTGTACAGGTACAACTTCAGAAGGTCCTTTTCTCGGTGGAGATGTTATTTCTTTATCTGAAATGTTTGACAGTATGGTATTAAACCTTTCTATCGTCAAGGAGACCAAACCAGACCAAGTTACAGGTCAGATCTGTGGAGAGGCGACGTCACTCACAGTCAGAATTCCTGTTTTTGAGCTGTAAAACCACCTGTAATTTAATAAATGTAAGGTAGAGCTGTTAAATGCTATACTGTGGAACATTCCAGGCTGAGAACTGACATGTCCAATCGATCCAATCTAACTTTATTTGTGCGTTATGTGCGTTATTTGGCACATTTTACCAACACAAAGTCTCCAAAGTGCTGAACAGAGTATGCACAATATACATGAACACATTGAGAAAAAAATGAAGCATAAAATAAATAAATAAATGAGCAAGTCACTAAATAAAAAAAAAATGACTTACTTATTTATTTATCCATGGATACAAGCAGGGGACAGACCCCCAACTAAGAAATTACACAGTGCACCTTTAAATATTTGCAATTACAAAACCAATTCAACCAGAAAAAGGTGGTTATGGTGAAGAGGAGTATACAGAGAGGCTGAGGGGGCTGTTGGTTCTGCTGCTGCGGTGAGAGGTTTTAGAAATATAATCTTCTTTGTGTATTTAATATTGAATATCATGACCAGACACTTACCCAAAATTGTGCTTGTTTTTGTGTGTAGCATTATCACACTTCCCAGAATCCAGCAGCGGTTCTCGTGTTACCTTCAGGGTCCTGCGGTGATGTGTTCAGGGCCAGGGAGGTGCCCATGTTACAAAGGCTGGGAGAGGGGAGCCTTTGTGAGGGAGAGTAACACAGCCTTATTTGGGCAGACTCTCTTTGTTGTGCTTTACCCAGTTACATTCCTGGATGGATGGATTTTGAGGCCATGTGGAACCGAACAACACCAGATAAGGTTTCCGATTCGCGAAAACAAGTTTGGAGAAAGGAAAATCATGTTTAGAAAAATAGAAGAAAAAAAAACATGAATGAGAAGTTTATGCAGCTTCTTGTAACTCTCTATTGTGTCTTGGACTGGCAATTTCAGATATGTACCGTAATTTTCATTCCACCCATCTCCACTGTCCACAGCAGCAGAACCGTCAGACCCTTCAGCCTCTCCATCTCCTCCTCTTCATGTCTCTCTTGGTTGAAACACAAAATAATCTCAATATTTTCAAGCTGACTTTAGATGGAAAACATCTATTTGAAAAAGATCTTATTAATGGAAAGCAGGGTTATAAAAATGGATGCACAGATACTAATTGGCTTAAGGCTCTTGTGTGTTTTTGTGTGTGTGTGTGTGTAGTGTTTGAGTAACCCTTTATTATTAGTCTGTTTATCTCCAAAGCTCACAATGTTCTGTTCCACCTTGTGATGTGACGAAGTGGTAATTTCTACATTAACAGCCACATTTTACCTTTTGTTTAAAGAAACAGTTCGGCATTTTGGACATAGGGCCTCATTTCCTAGTGAGCCAAAGTGTTGGAGATGCATGGAGACACTTTTTTTAAAATATTCCATCCAGTCCTTGTATTTGCAGAGGTCACTGGTGCTAGGCTAGTGCATGTCAATGGCCATAGTTAGCCTGCCACTAAAAACAGTCTTACCCACTCCACAAAACACCCGAAGCAAATCTATTATTACGCCAGACTGTTGATGTAAATGTCTGTGTTGACAGAATAATGTTTGAAATAAAACTAATCTTGCATCACATGAATTGTCACATGCTGAGGGACTATTTTCTCATATATCAGTCCGCTGCTGTGAAGTTTTCTATCGGGAAGTACAACTCACTGCTGCTCAGACATAAATCCTACAAATGCAAGATTGGTTGTAAAATTATTCTGTTGACACAAACATTCACATCAACAGTCTGGTGTAATAATAGAGTTGCTTCGGGTGTTTTGTGGAGTGGGTAAGACTGGTTTTAGTGGCAGGCTAGCTATGGACATTGACATGCACTAGCCTAGCTCCAACGACCTCTGCAAATACAAGGACTGGATGGATTATTTTAAAAAAGTGTCTCCACACATCTCCAACACTCTGGCTCACTAGGAAATGAGGTTCTATGTCCAAAATTCCAAACTGTCCCTTTAATAGAGGTTGACAATTCCAGGTTTGCAATTATCCATATGATCCTAGTGAAGGCGTTTGCAGTTTAGTAACACAGTGGAGCACTTCCTGTACTAAATGAACACGTGTGAATGAATGAAAAAACACAACACTGAGTATGTTTTTGATGAGAAAACAACATTATGACATTTTAAAATAGTGCAATATTGGCTCTTTAATACTAGATAAAAAAAATTTTTTCTGACATCAACTGAAATAATTATTCTATTTTTTCATTATATACAGTTATCAGTACCATATGGACATCCTGGATCCTGGGGCTTTCTCGGTCTAGTATGCCCATTAATCTTAATATATTTTTCTTTCTTTATCTTTTCATTGTTGTATTGAAACTGGCAATGAGTATCAAGCATATCGAGTTTTGAGATATTTTACTTTCGTGACAAGAGTAATGGAAAATAGCTGCTTTTATAAAAACCAAACAAAGATAAAACTATTTACACTGCAATATTGAGCCAGTCCACTTCCTAAGAACTAAACTCTTGTCATTGTTTAAATTTGGACTCAAAAGCTCCATTAGGCCCTGTCTGAAGTTTACCTTAACAGGCCCTACGGAAAACAAAAGAACATTTTACAGCTACATTAAGAATTGGAGTTTCAGCTTTAATCCGAGCGACTGTGAGATCTTCCCCGTGGGTACGGCAGTGTAGGTAGGTGAGAGCTTAAAGGAATGCGAAAGTACAGAGCCATCAGGGTAATGGAGGGTCACCTGATCTGTGTCGGGAGGAGGGGGGAGAGAGGAGAAGTGAGAGTGGGAGCAGCATTGGGTTTGACACTGAGGGGCTTTGTGAAGGAAATCCCCGCACCAGCCGAGGCAAAAAGGGTCTTCTGTCTGTACGGCGGTTTCTGATACTGCTGTATGTGAAGATGATTGTGTAGTATAGTACAGGTGCAGACAAAACAGAACTTCAACATTTTGGGGGTATATTAAAATTTTAATATCATAGTTTATTATGATGGGGAAAGAATTGGAAAGTCACACTTGAACACTGTGTTCAGCCTTGTTTGTGTAATCCATAGACTGTATATCTAAATGGACGCCGCTGTGATCCAATTGGAAGTGAGCAGGGGGGCACTTCTGACTCCTTTTACTCTGGCTTCAATTTACTTTACTGTGCAATTATAGCTTATATTGTACAGGAAATGAGAAGTCTATATGTTCTTTGTTAATTTGGGACAGTAGAAAAAAGGGGTGTATAGATATTTACTTCCTCCCACTCCTTTTCGGACACAAGTAAAATCTGCATATTTATTTTTGCTTATTATAATAGAAAAGAAATATTTACTTTTTGGTATATATATAGCTATAAATTATATCTATGTATATCTATAAATTATATCTATGTATTTACATTTTTTATGCACGTTCTATGAATTACTGTCCAAATAAACATTCATTCATTCAATCATTCATTCACTTTACATTGAAAAATTGCTGTCCCTCTCTCTGTTACAGCTGCAGTGAGCCTCGTCATTTTGGTCTTAAAATGTTCGTATTAATCTGCTCTACGTGATCCCGGAGTCTTTATTTCACTATTTTGTCAGTAAACAAATTCTTATTATTAATATGAAACTCAACTCCAGTTTTACTCTTTTAACTGCTGGTCTCATGAGCGTCATCCAGACTCTATAGGTTGACGTCAAACTCCCTTAATCCGCTTCTTTACACAGTCTATAGTGTAATCCCCCACTCATCCAGGTATGATCCATAGTTTAAGAAAAAAATCAGTTCTGTCAACGGGACAAAAGTTTCAGAGTGAACCATTTTAGTCCTCGTTTAGTCCTGGTCCAGTTCACATTTAGTCTCAGTTAAATCCCAATTTTGATGTGGTCATTGTGCGAGCGTGATTAAGTGCCCTTTGATTTATTTCAGCAGGTTTTGAAAAGTACTGAATAACTGACCTCAATGAAGTGAATACATAACAATGAAATAGGGGAATGGGAAATGGGAGCAGCTACGCCTGATTGCAATTATGATTTACTTTTAATTATTTTGACATTTTCATTTTATTACCATTCTTTTTTACTCTTTGTTATTATATTGTAATGTGTGACTTACTGTGTCCAAGTAATTTCCCTTGTGGATGTATGGATGTTTAGTACCAAATATATTTCATGTTCAAACTAAATGCAGGCTTAAAACAAAAGTAATCAGTTACATTGACTTCAGTAACTTTTAAAAGCATACTCTTCAGAGTACTTTTCTAGCAACATACTTTTACTACTGCATGAGTAATACTTTAATTGAAGTAACAGTACTCTTACTTGAGTAAAAAGTTGTGGTTACTCTTACCACTGTGAGTTTATAAGTGACTAAAGCGTTATGTTGACAATATGAAATAATTTGAACATTTGTGTTTCTTGCTCTGCTTCTTCAAATATATTGTAGCTTTTCAAATTTTTGTGTATATCCTTGGTAAACTGCAGATTTTGTGTATTATTTAATGTTTTGTCCTTCAAATTATAACTCAGATGTTATGAAATGTTGGAAGTTATTCTTACTTAAGTAGTAGTTTTCCTAAATACTTTTTACTTCAGTCATTTCTTGGACCACTGTATTATTTTGAAGTAACATTGCTCTTACTTAAATACAATTTTAGGGTCATTTACCCGCCTCTAACGGCTTTGAATAAGACTGCACTTTCTCAAAATAGCTTTGGAGCTTTGAACAGTGAATATTGTTGCGTAAATAGTGAGTCATGGTTAACCTTTTTCTATTGTTCTGATTGTTCTGATCCCTTTCTTCCTCTCTCACATCTACAGATAACAATAGGTGAGGGAGATATGTGTCATATGTATTGGACATTTGTGTTGCCACATTTGTACTGTACACCCCCAGACTGACCTGAATGTCACTGAATGATTAACATGTCTGTTTATGAATGCCTTATGAATGAACTTCAGGTGCAGTGCGGTTATACTAGTAGTATGTTTTACTCTAAATACATTGAATTGAATGAAGTAGTGTCATCATGTTGCTAAAATTTCAAACTCGATATCAATACTAAGAAATAAACTCAATAACTCAATGGTCTTTCTTTATATAATAGAGTTTGATTTGCTTAATTCTTGTTTCATTGATGTGAGAATTAAACAAAAGACAACTCCAGGTATGTTTCTGGCAAGGAAGCAACATGGTTTAAAGCTCACAAGAGTCAATTCTGTGTAATTATAGTACCTTTAAATAATAGTACTTCCTTTTATTGTAACATGTAGTCTTACATCCGTGTAATATTTTAGGCCTCCAGGTATGTGTGGACTTATAATTGTTCTGAAACAGCTCAAGATCGTACCAAAGCTATTCAGGAAATGTTCATTTCTGTCCTGTGAACCAAAAACAGCGATATTTATTTACATGACCACTTACACAATTTTCATTATTGTTGTAGTCTAAATAAATCTCCATATTTACTTTTATATTATATGTTATGTTACTGTTATGTTTTGGGAATGGGATGACAGTTTTTCTAATGATTTTAGTATCATGGTTTTAGTATCAAATGTGTAAAAGTACCCATGACTCTTATGCAAATCAGATGCCCTTCCTGTCACCTCCAGTCATGTTCCTGTGACTTTACAGACAATTTGGGTGTGTGACTTAAATGGCCAATTACCCAGGCATGTGTCTGTGATCAGGCAAGATCTGATTTGCCAGCTTTCTAATTTTAGGTTCTTACACCACTGCCGCTTATACTTGTGCACTGTGTAACTTTTCTAGTGGTCTGCTTGTTTTCATGGAGATGTTATTGCTCCACCTAGTCCGAGAATATTCTACGGTATGGTATTAAACTTATCTATCTCCATGGTCAGATCTGTGGAGAGGCAACACCAGTGTAAGAATGCATTTTTAAGCAGTAAAATGCAAGATAGATACATTAAATACTGTGGAACATTCCAGGTAAAGCAACATCTCCATGGAGACAAGCAGGTGTTGGACCCTTAAAAGAAAAGAAAAGCTACATAGTCCATCTTTAATTTGCATCTTAAAGGACGCACTGTGTAACCTTTAGGTTGGGGGCCTGTCACCTGCTTGTTTCTATGGATATGTCATTGCTCTGCCTGTAATGTTCCACAGTATGACATTATTATTTTTTTTTACATTTGGTTTTATAACTCAAAAATACCTAGAAAAACAGGCATTCTGACTATGAGTGGGGTTGCCTCTCTTCAGATCTGACCTGTAACTTGGTCTGGTTTGGTCTCCATGAAGATAGAAAGGTTTAATACCATACTGTGAAACCCCCACCAGAAAACACCTTTAAAATTCTAAAAAAAAAACACACAAATAACATCTAAAGAAAGAAAGTAGACGGTCTTATAAGAACAGTTCTTTATGTTTTGCCATGTCAAACAAATATAAGTTGTTGTATATGCTACACAAAGAGAAGCAGATACCGCGACAGCTCCCAGGTTTCAGCACAGAACTGAGTCGTACAAGTGTCAGTTATTGCTTGTTTTGCTACAAATACAAGATACAAGATTCACTAACGATTTGACAAACGTTACAGTGGACAAACAGCAGAGTTATAGAAATGAAAGACAGATTCAACACACGACTTCAGTTTGACTTGTTCTCAGCTCATTTTTCACTGTTACATTTGCAGGAGAAGCAGCGATGGCCCGTGCACCGGAAGTTACAATCCCGGTGACAGATAACACTATATACGACATATTATACAGTACATATTCAGTCTGGAGACAATTGGAGCATACAAAATTTGACCTTCTCTTGGAGCTATGGTCATTTATTAACATCCACCCACCTGTTATAAGATAAGACTGACATCTTCACTGTTACTGTGTCGGATGAATGAATAAAGGAATATTTTATGAATCACTTAATATATTATTTTGGGTACTGCTGATACTTTGCAGCTGTTGTCATTAACATTCCCTGGGGGTGTGACGCTAACTGTAGGCACTATTCTGAAGGTTTGTTTGAGGCTCTAATCAGACTTAAATCTGAGCTTTAATTTAACACAACCTGACCAAATGCGTGCTGTTAACCAAGTCTCTCACAGATAAAACTACAGTCACAAGCTAGTTAGAATTACCCAACAGTTTTTCAGGTAGTCACACTCACCTTTTTGTTGAAAATCCAACACACAAACAGGACCATGCACGCTCGTATCGATCCCAGGCTCCTAAAAATGTGTTGTTTAAATCCATTTTGTATTTTTTCTTGAGTTTTCAAACAATCTTAAAACTTTTTTGACAGTGTTATTATGTGCAAGTGTGCCCATTGTGTCACCGTGGTAACAATTTGCCATACACATATATGCAGAAACCCCCCAGCATGATGTCACTGCAAAGTATCAATACAATATCTAATTATAGTTTTTCAAAAATGCTTCCAAATTGCCTAAAGTTGGTGTAATGTCTTTTCTATTACTATAAAATCTTTTGTTATTAAGGAAAATGGTACACCTTCTTGCTCTTTTTTCATAATGGTGGATGTTTCAAGATAGTTAGCCAGTATCGATCTGATTTAAAGGGGCACAGTTATCAAACATGAAATCAACAAAATGACAGATTATAATAGTGGATGCTTTGGTTGATTTTTCACAAGGCGTTCAATGTTTCCCTTTTCTCCATTTATAAAAATGCTTAAAGAGATCTATACACAAAATAAAAAAGCACAAATATTCAGTTCAGCTATTTACAGCAAAACCTGGTATTAGTCTTGTGAAAATGACATTTAGAGATTGCCAAACATGCAAGAGGTTTGGAGACAGAACTGGGCAATCTATAATAGTTTTCATTAGAAGAAAGCTGTGAATTGTCTTTGCGCTGTCAGTTATATTATTTTTATTTAATTTTATTTTTTTGTTATAAAAATGAATGTTCCCATAAGACACCACTGTGAGGATATGCACTGTTGTACTCCACTGTCATCAGATTAAGATAAAAAACACCTCAGCTCAGAAGTCAGAAGCATGCAAAAGTGTCTCAAATACATACTTGTAGTTAGGCATCTATTTTAAATGAAAAAAGACCTCTCCGAAATGAACAAAACAGAAAACAAAACAATGCTTACAATAATATTTGAACGGTTAGTCACAAATGCGCTGTGATTTTTAATAATTTCCTGCTCTAAAAGTTGAATATTTTGAATGTATGAATATAGTATTTACAAGCAGACAACCTGATACGAATGAACTTCCAAATCAAGTACAAACAGAACCAAAAGAGTCCACAGGTTACGGAGAGGTACTGTGAATGGTGACAAGCGATGAGCTGGATGGTGCCTGGCGTGACAGGTGTCTGACCGCACTTACACAGAGGGTCCTGTAGGGGCCGCTGCTCATGCCCGCCGCCCGCACCATGTGATGTGAGTGATCCATCTTTAGGTCGTAGCCGCCTCATTCCTCTCCCAAAAACACGTTTGCACAGCCATGTCCGTTTTGCTTTGGAGTGATCTGAAATGAGGGGCGCGGCGCTCAGACAGGGCACACTGCTGTCAGGATAAGGACAGGTGTGTGTGGGTGGGTGGAGGTGGCGGGGGTCTAGTTGCAGACTTTGGGGGGGCCGTCGGGGCGTCTGGTCTGGACGATCTGCTGCTTCGGCCGAGCTCCCTCCTCTTCCTCCGTCTCGCTCTCACACACGTGCACCACAACACTGGGGGTGGACTCTGTGCCCGCGTGCAGCTCGTACTTCTCACCTGATGAAAAACACAGAATAGAAGGAAGTTCAATATCAGTTAAGAGACCACAATAACACATACGCCTTGTGTTGTGTTGACATGATACTAAAGTTTCAAACTCGATTTCAATATCTCATGTATAAATTTATGTGTAGGTTACATGAATCAAGAAATAAAATTATAATGTGCTTGACATTGATATTAAGGAAATTGACACCCAATTTTACTCTGACATCTGGAAATGTTGGAAGAGCCAGCTATATGTATTTTAATTCTACCGGACCTTACGTAACTGTAGGTTGTTTTTTTGTTTTTTTATGTGTGTGGGTATGTGTGTGTGTATGTGTGTGTGCTGGTGGGTTTATATATGATTGTGGGTGTGTGTCCTTCTGTGTACGCTTTCTGTAAATAAAGTTATATAATACTAAGGAATGCACTAAAACCATGATAAGTACAAAAAACACTCTTTAGACATTTTCAGCATTAAATTGTAGTACTTTTTTTATACATATATATATATAATCCCACAGTAATCCAGGTCGGTTCCATAGAGGTCCATGGGCGTATACTAGTCTATGTGTTCTTATACTTGTTCGGAAACAGCTCAAAATCAGTCTAAAGCTATTTAGGAAAGGTTTATTTCTGTTGACTAGTATTTGATTTTCTATACTTTTAACAACACTACAAGTTACTTTAAGCATTATTCATCCATTACGCAGTCACACTACTTTAGCCACAGCTGTCCTGATGGAAACATGTCTGTGTAAACAATCTCGATGCAACCACAACAACACGTGACATAACCACATGTATGATGCCAGTAACAAGGGTCAGATAACTTTTGTGTTAAAACCTCGACCCAACTGACCACAACAGATAACACAGCATGAAAATATGAAAACAGAATTTAAGACCGAGAGACAAGAGATGAAATGCATTTTAAAAAGTGTTCACTAACCATCCCAGAATGCCACTTCAGTTTCAGAAAACAGTATTAGCTTTCCAGTCAATCTAATGATTAATTAAACTTCAAACTATTGCGGTTATAATTATTTATCAGACCAAAACTTCACACATAACAGTTCAGCTGCTATTGTGCTCCTTAGTGAAAAGCGTGGCTATTCCCAGAATGTGATCCTTCTAGGAATAGCCTGGTTCTTTCTCTACATGCCAGCCTCTCTCGATCCGATGTGCAGATTGTATTAGTGGTTACCATGGCAATGCACTTCCACAGCTGGCACAGAGGAAAATGGTCTGGACAAAAGAGTCGAGCACAAAGACTAAATGGTGTCCTGCTGTTCCATGCACCGAGGACAGGGGGAGCCACAGATCTGCATCTGCACTCTTTATAATTAAGGCTGCTGAGAGCAAGTGATACAAAAATAGCTGCTCAAACTTAAATCTAGTTTAATAAAATAATACAATCTCATGATACAAATAATGCTACATTTTGAGAAAGATTTTATAACTATAGATTTTTATTTATTTAAATCTTTTCAATATAATCAGTGATTCCAGTGGCATACCATAGTAAAAACTCGATTAAAGGAGCATTTATTTATTTTTTTGCAATATATTTAATGTAATATAAAGCAGATTTTACAATATATACCCATATCTTAAGTTAAATTTAAATCAATTGAACACCTACATCTTATTTTAACACAGAATTGGCTCTCCTGATAGTAGAAATAAACAGGTCAGAGTCTTAAGCGTGTGCCCTGCAGCTGCCGGTGTATTTCGGTGTGATTTCGCTTGGTGATTATTCTGCCCTATTTCAGCCTCACAAACAGTCACCTCAGTACTAGGCCGTGTAACATAAACTGCTTTGTGTGAGTATGCTCTTAACGCATTAGGCCCTGAATTCTCTTAGGCAGCAAAGGGCACTTGTTCTAGAGTAACTATTTTAAGAGCTGAACCCGCTCACTTCACTGCTTTGTGCCCTGCTGTCTCGTGTGGTAGATAAGAGGGGCTGCAGGTGCAAACATCCAAATGACAACAGCTGTCCATGGCACTGAAGAGATAAAAATAAACACGTAGCCGAAAGGAAACAAGAAACAACAGATTTTTGAGAGGGTCAAGTGAAAATGGAAGAGGGGAAAGGACAGTACATACATCTATGAAAGAGAAATTGCAGTGTTGTTACAAGGACCGCGCTAGAAGTGTCCTTGGTGCAGGGAAAGCACATTTTTAAATTGTAATTGAATCAAACTCGCAATCATCCAACCGTCAGGGCTGCAATTACTTAGATAACAAAAAAGATATTTAGAGAACAAAATATCCTGTACCTGTGGTTTAGACCGCTACATGTTCTGAAATGCTAGGGATTTTTGTACTAGTTTATTAGTACAGATTTGACTTTTCTCTTTAATGTTAATGCTCCTGGAGTTGTTTACAATGTGAACTCTGAACCTAACCCAAATTAATAGGCATATATTGCAAATCTAATCACAAGACCTTTTTTTTCCCCAAAATCATGCAGCTATACTGGCTACAGAAGCTTAATTTCTCTATCAGGTAATAATAGATGTAGCTTGAGAGTGTAAAGAGATGGCACGAGATTCTGAATATCTAAACCAGGGGTCACCAAACTTGTTTATCTGGGGGCCACATTATCACTCCTCACTGTGATGGGGGGCTCGGGTCAGGTCAGCCGTATAATAGAATTGCACGACCCTGATGACCCAGATTATATTCTTTGAAAAATGCCACATCTTCTTCACATATCAGACAGGCTGCATGGTCCAAAACAATAATCAGTAATCTACTGTTCTTTGCAAACTCGGCACTCTCTGTCAAGTTTTTGCACTCATGCCTCACAGCAAGAAGCTTCCAGGTTCGATCCCCGGGTCGCCCAGACCTTCCTGTGTGGAGTTTGCATGTTTCTCCCCGTGTCTGGATGGGTTTCCTCCGGGGCGCTTTGATTTTCCCCATCAACCCAAAACATGCTACATAGGTTTCTAGGAAGAACAGTTGATAGCCAAGGTCAGTCAAATACAATCAATCAATGAACCTGCCCAGGAACTACAGGTGGAAATTAGCACTGGTGCTACAACCTGGTACAATGCATCTCTCCTGCTAAGGTTAATGTAAAAATGGTGTGCTGTCCCTGTCTCATTAAATAAATAAATAAATAAATAAATAAAACACTCACCATTTTGCTGTCCTTAACTGCACTACAGTAGTCTAAGCGTGCGTTGACTGTCACTGTTTGATCTCGAGCTTGTCAGGTGACGAAAATTCAGTGGCAAATGTAAAAACGTCATATAAAAATTTAAATATCACATAATAATATAAATTTAAATACTTCATATAAACATTTTTAATAGAAAAAATCTACAAAATACACGATGCAAACATGTTATTATTTGCCAAAAAGTTATTAGTTTGATGACACCTGATCTAAAGTATGAGAAGTAAGGATGTATCGATACTGATACTGGTATAAAATATTAGCTGGATCAGTGCATCCTTTATGAGAAATGTATACCATTAGTATTGACCCTAGAGACATACACTCAACACACTGTGGTAGTATTTTTCATTCAAGTCTGACTACACTTTGATGACATTGGCCAGAATAAGGACTGTACTGGAGGAGTCCTTGGTACAGTAATGCAATTTTTCTACTGATCGACAATAAACCACAGCATACAGGTGAAGAAGAAACATGGCAAACATGGAGGACCAAGCTCGATACATAATATTCTGCATGGAAAATGAATAGTGGAAGACAGTAGCTAATTTGTCGCAAAGAAAATATTACTCGACCAACTGGACTAAAGTTTTTTTTGCTTGCAATATAAATCTTCACACCCCTGAATTTAGTCTATGTAAGCAAAACCAGCTATTGGCGAGACCCACTTTCTAACTCACAGCACCTGTTCAGCGCCAGCATCAGTACAGCCTCTGTGTAAGACATGTTTGTATGTGTCTTCTTCCTTCATGGAATACAGTGAATACAAAATAAATGCCACTTCCTTCGACAGCGCGATAAATCCTATTAACTGAACACATTCACGAGCACGCTCCCGAGACTAATGTGTTCAACGGCGCTTTTTAAAAATGAGGACAACATGGCAATAAATAACAACAACTCCTAGCAGCACCCCGGGCAAATATAGCAGCTTCATTTAGCGGCTAGTGTTCACAGGTACACGGGATACAGAGACAGGACAGTGTGTGTATGTGTGTGTGTGTGTGTGTGTGTGTGTGTGTGTGTGTGTGTGTGTGTGTGTGTGTGTGTGGGTGTGTGTGTGAGGGAGGAGCTGCTCTGACCTGGTCCCAGTTTGGCCACAGCACACAGCAGGTCATAGTTGATGACTGGGGTGGCGTCTTCGCTCTGGCTCCAGCCCACAGGAGGAGAAGCTGGAGGGGAGATCAGGAACTGCTTCACAGGCTGAGGGGGAGCCAGGTATGACTTATCTATGTCCTCGTCTCCATTCTGGATCTAAAACATACCACAAAAGATTCATATAGGGCATACAACTATTACAACAACTACTAGTATGCAATTGAGATTCAACCAAAGCTTTGTCAGCAGCCATCTCCATTCTCAACAAACTATATCACTGACCTTACCATTAATTCATTTATTATTTCTTGTCAAACATTAATTCATTTATTATTTCTCGTCAAACAAATCTAATAACAATAGAAATTCTTTTCCAAAACAGTGTGGGCCCTGGTCCAGAGCCTGTGCACACTCACTTGAGCGAAGTAGAGCTTGAGCTTGTTGCCGTTGAACTCAGACTCGTGCAATTCAATGCGAGCGCGTGCTGCTGCCTCTGGGGTGCTGAAGTTTATTCTCACTCTGCGGAAACTTTTGAAGAGCTGGAATGTGACCTGCTCATCGTAGAGTCGAAACACAGCTTCAAAGCGCTCCTGTACAACACAAGACATCACACTGTCACTTTACTGGCCCACACAGAGCACACAGGTGGCTTACTGACACACACATTCACCACAGTATAAAATAATAAGAATAATAACACAGTTATGAATTAAAGAATTACAAAGCTTAATTCAATTCTGTAGAGTAATCCATTTGCCACAGCTGCCCAGGGGCAGACTGACAGACACTATGAACTAATGGCCTCACTGACCAACACTAAACACAGTCACATCATTACGACATTCACACAGTGAGGTGAGAGCCATGGCCAAGAATAGTATGTAATGCCAGAGGACTCATCACAGTTAATAGGCATGTGAGCTACATGCTACTGCTGCACTGCATTCTGTTTTATAGTGTGAAATATCACATTTTTGCTTGATTATTATTTCAAATGAGCACTTGTACACATGAGGAAATGTAGCACACTGTAAGTATTATACCAAAGGCTAATACATGTCCTTTTTACTACTACTTTGACAAGTAGTCAGTTGAATTGTTTCTCTTCCTGCGAGGAGAGTACCCAGTACTTCCTCAGAGTGCACACCTGATGCACAGCAGACGTCTCTCTCTTTATAACTCAATGTTCTCCATGGGCACAAACAGCTCATTCAGCTGTGGACTCAATCAGACGGTGCTGGGGGTGCTCTGAGTAATCACAGCTCTGCACTGCTCTATTCTGTGTGAGCCGGACGTTGCACTGGACAAGACTTTCACAAACACAACAGGTCCACTGATCCTCTATTGTGTGCTCAACTGCTCATTGTCTGCTCAGGTCAGCTCTGGTACCATCTTCTACCATCAAAAGAAAACACTTGAATGGTTAGCTTGATTGCTAAAACTTTCTTTCAAGACTTCTTTTAAAGAATATGTCAGAAAGTTTTGTAAATAGTTTAATTTTACAATTTACAATCAGTGAGACAATTTCATTATTATTTCATTTCATTCCCACTGTTAAATGGGTTGCCATTGGGTTGCCAACCTTAAATGGTTTAAACCCTAAATAATAGGAATAATGGTCAGCTGCAGCTCTAACAGTGTGTATGAAGCCTGGTCTCACAGGCAAAGCTGTTTGTGACTCACTGCTGCGAGCTGCTCTGTGCTCTGTGCTTAATGCTGATATCATATATTTAAACATTTTACTATTAACACAAATATTCACACAACAACACTTTGCTTAACACATCAAATAGTCAATTAGGCTGGCACATGAAACAGCATCCAAGCCTGTAAGGCTGTCAGCTATATACATGGCCAATGGAGCTATGCACTGACCCTCCGGACTCTTAAGTAGTAGCCTAGTATTTTTAAGAAGTACAACTATTCAGTCCAAAAAACAATAATAATAAACGTAATAATTGTTTTGCTGCTGATGTTTTGTGGAGTGGGTAAGACTGTTTTTAGTGTCAGGATAACTATGGTCATTGACATGCACTAGCCTAGCACCAGCGACCTCTGCAAATACAAGGACTGGATGGAATATTTTAAAAAGTGTCTCCACACGTCTCCAACACTCTGGCTCACTAGGAAATGAAAAAATTCCAGACTGTCCCTTTAAAAAAGAGATAGGCCAGTCTTCGGGAAAGCATCTAATCTAAAATGGAGGCTGCATGGGCCCTTTGAGCTTCATTAATTTTGTCATGTAGGTGATCTGCGGAGAACACTATATGTGATGTGTCGAATAGTGATTAGAGAAAACCTGCACGTCTAAATAGAGATGTCGTAATGAAGGGATGTGCTACAACTCCTATGTGTACTATAATTCACTGAAACTCAATTTTCTTGTCTTTGAAATCTTTCTTAGTTTAATAAATACAAACTCAGAGCCCTTTAGACATGTCTTGTTGGTGAATATTCCATGAGTTGGTTTCACTGTCTCACATGTGATAACTGATAGGCTGCTCTGAAGTACCTCTTTGCAGTGAAGGATGTTTTGGCATGAGTGAGATGGAACCTGTCAAGTTACACGACTCCTCAAAGGTAGACCTGTACTGTGTGCCGAGAAACAACATCATGCGCTTCTGAGAATATCTTAGATAATTATTATTCAAAACTTCTCTGCTGGAGGGCACACTAACAGCTTGTCTCGATCCTTGAAGGTTCCACCGTACGGAAAAAAGCAAAAGATGCCCCCCAGTTAGAGCCAAAGAAGAAAGTCAAAGAATTTCAAGGAACTTTTGAGCAATAAAATATCTGTAATTGGAATAAAGGGCCCATTTTCACTGCTTAAAGCTCACGTGAGTCAATTCTGCATAATATAGGAGCTTTAAGATGGTAGATCGGGAAAAACAAATGGCATCATAGAAACTGTTGTGGTCGAGATAAACATAACATATTCACAAAAACATTTCCACCTTTTCCCTGTACATTTGATACCCCATATACATATTTAATGGCTTCCTGTGCTACTAATAAATTGCATCCCTCTGCCAGAAAACACAATGCAGCTTTAATTTTATGATGATTGTTTATGTTTTGATTAGTCTGTATTGCAATTTTAATCCCTTTCTTATTTTGTAAAGCACTTTGCATTACGAATTGTGCAATAGAAATAGAGAACACAACCACATAAACATTCCACTTCTTCTTCTTACACAACATGACAAAGAGAAAAGTAGCCTAATACGCACTGAAAACCCCTTGCTCACATGCTCATGCTCGGTCTGAAAGTGTTTTTACCTGACACCGTTACACTGACATGTGCTGAGGTATAGGGCCCGAGCAGCAGCAGCAGTCACTACAGTGATGTCAGCACTCTCACATATCTGACCACAGCATCCTCACGTCACCTTTACATAACACAGTCCACACACCACTTCCTCCTCTTCAAACACCAAAGGACACTGTTGAGTCACTGGCCTGAACGATGCCTGATGAATAGGTTTACAAAATAATGACGCTTTAATGTGTAATAAATAATCAATGCTAACCGGACTCTTGTGCGTTTTCAAATGATTCAAAATGTACAAGTGTCTGAAAGTGGTGCCCAAACTGTTTGATAGAGGTCATTTGTCTTTATACAAAATGCGCTCTGGCAATTTTCCAAAAGCTTCAAAATAACCAGGGCTGTAGTCTTTTAGTTGATTGATTTTAGCCTTTTTTTTTTTCTTTATTTGTCCCACAATTCACATTACAATTAATTACAAAATTAAGATCAAGAAATGTATACTATATATATTTTAATAAGATTATAAGCAGAAAGGAGAAGAGCTGGAGTTTTGGAAGTTAATTGATGTTTTCACAGATAAAATGATGTTAGAAACACTATATTATATTTAATTTAAATCAAAATATTGATCTAACAACAACAACTTAATAAAAGAAACAACTCCCATGACTTCAGTGTTGTTCCACCTGTCCCTTTATGATATGTCACAGTAAAAGCCACTTTATGATATGTCACAACAAAGTGGTGCACTGTTGGCTGTTCTTTCTATGATAACTACAGTTCATCCTAACAAGCAGCTGACCCAAAATGGCTTCACAGCTCTGATTAATCTTATGTGTATTGCAGATTAAGAAGAAATACATTTGTAGAATACAATGGGCGGAAGTGAAAGTGGAAAATTTCAGTACAATGTCGTCTTGATTGCAGAAGAATAAAAATTACTTAAAGATGCATTAATCACTCCAAATACAAGTTAAAAGGAGTAAATGAGAAGGGAAAATTGATTGCATAATATGTGAGCTATGAATATATCATCCACCATCATTACAATAAATTAGAGTCACATTTTGTTATTTTCAAATCTAGTCTTTTGGTCAGGGTTAGCTGCGGAGGAGAGTCTGCAGGTTTTGTTCTTCTAGACCGTTCTGTCTCTGATCCAGGGCTGGTCCGGGCAGTCTGGAGCTTTCTCTCACTGTACTCTGCTGTTGCAACATTGTGATTTCACTGTCAGTGCATTCTCTTGCCAGATTTGATCTTGTTAAATTCAGACTGGCACTGTATAACCACAATAAACTAATATTGTAATCCACGGTTCTCAGAGATTACCTGCAGTAAAAATCCTTTTGACTGCAGTTTGCTAATCTGACTTTAGACACGTGCTGGCTTTAATACAGTGTAATCCAGAGTCAGGCTGCACTAGTGGAATAAGATTTGAGTGAAAACCGTCAAACTAGGCCACAAACAGAGCCCCGGGTGAGTCACAGATAAAGGAGGGGTAAAATTAGTAACATGGTCCAATAACTAAGAACGTTTATTTGAGCATTTACAATATAATTACTGCTCCTGGTATGAACAAAGCAGAGCCACTGAATGGGGAGGCAAGTAATTAAAGCGTTAAAGTAGATTAAATTTCTATAACACAAAAGATTTTATAGCTCATGGGTTGTAAAGTGGTCTAAATGAAAAGAGATGTTTCATTGTCAATATGAGTGTGTTCATTTGGACGGATGTTGATTTGGTTTGGTCCTGATCCAGGTTTAGTTCTAGATAGTTCCAATTTCATCTCAATTTTGATGTTGAAAGTGTTACTGCAGCCTACATTGTATTCTAAATAATAAAAACACTCTTTATTTAGACAATAGCATGTCCTTTCCGACATTAAATCGCAGTACTTTCTTTTATATTACCATGTGTAATCCCTCAGTGGTCCAGGTAGGTTTCATAGTGGTCCATGGGCGTGCACTAGTCTATGTGCTCTTATATTTGTTCTAATACAGCTCAAGATAATTTTAAAGCTATTCAGAAAAGGTTAATTCTTGTCATATAAATATGATTTTATTTTGTATCGATACCTGATCAAATTAGTATCTGGTTTAGTATAAATACGTTATCTAATTTCAATACTTTTGACAACCCTTTGATAAATGGCTTTAAGTTTTTGATAATAGCAGGCTAATTACTTGAACACAAATAAGAGGATATACAATCACATTAGCTCTCTTCATCTGCTGTATTCTATGTTGCTTTTGTGCCTAATAGCTGTAAAGTTGTTAAAGCAACATGCAAATTGCTTGTCCCACGCAGCACAGCAGTAAACCTGCA